ACATAGCCTCAAAAGTAAATTCAGAAATCTGAGAGAACGGGTCTTTTGTAACAGATTTTTTATTCTTTTGCGTACCTAATGCCAATTTAAAGTGAAATTGTTAGGAATTTTCTCATTTTCAGCTTTTCCAACTTAAATCTTTACAGTTTGGTTTGAGGTTATGTGCTATTGTTTTGAACCAAACGATACATCGAACCGTTATCGAATACGACGAATACGGTCTTCCAGACAAACCTAAAGCTATGACAATTTCGTCAGAAGTAGAAGTGTAATCAAGTATATTAATCTAATAATAACATTATATGTTCGCTGGGTCTCAGCTTAACGTACTCTCTACCATGAACCTGTTACTCGATATTTCACGCTAAGTGGAAACAGTCATCGTAAGCATTGTGAGAAAGCTCAATGCCGAAAGTGCGTGCCTAGGATAGTGCAGTGACCCGTTTTTACTTCTTCAGAAAGGTGGAGAACGTAAGCATATAATGTCCGCAATGATTTCCATTGCTTCTGCAGAGGCAAGCCAAAGAATTACCTCCGACAAGCCCAAGCCAAAGCTGAAGCCTTGCTGTGCCTGTCCAGAAACCAAAAGAGCCCGAGACAGTTGGTAAGGAGCCACCAAGCACTTTCTCGCCCTCTTATGTAATTTTCCTAGTTTAGGACTTCAAGTTTTTATTTTGATATAATAATCCTCATGTCTTGAGGATCAGTGTTCCTCTAAGGTCATATTGCCCAAAGATTATGAGTGATTTCTCTAAAGCAACAATAGCAGGTTATAAATGGTTTACCTACTTTCGTCAAAGAAAACATTTGCCGAATGACATTCTGGGATGTCACAAATCTGCGTGTCAACACCAGAATGTTGACACGCACCACTACGGCTGTTAAGGTGCTTTGTTAAGCTTTCTGACGAGGTCGAGCTGGCATGCCGTATATTACATTTTTATTATGTGAAAAATTTCGGCAGATATTGAATTTTCAGTCCTAAATGGGCCAATAGCCACATAGCGTATGCCAATTGGATTTGGTCAGTGACGAATCACCTTAATGCAACCTTGCAATCATGAATCAACAATTGAAATGCCCTTATCAACATTCTCAAGATGTTGCGCGGATTGTTTAAACATCCTTTGACTTTAATACTCCAATTTTTTTTTCTTGTGGGTTATTCCATGCCAACTGGTGATAGTTTGAAAAAGTGATCCCCTCAGAATTTAAGGAAATTATGGAGAAATAATGTTAATGCATAGCTATCCAAGGGAGGCTACCGATTGCCCTACTCAGATTGCTTTAAATTGGTTCCAGAAAATTTTTTTGCCCATAGCGCCCAATGGGTCTGTTGCCCTCGGGAAGGATTTGGAGAGCAGTGATCTTATCATATGTAAATTTTCACGAGAAAACGGCTGGTGATAGGGATTGACGAATATCGAATTTGAATGCAATTATTTGAATATTCGAAACTTTTCAATTGCGATTATTTGAGAAATCGAATCTTGCAATTTTGAATACTCTGAGGCATATAATCAAATATTTTTGATATTGCTCCGTTTTTTATTATTTTAAATTTTTCTCGCGAAAGGTCTAATATTTGCACCTCTGGGAAAGTATTTTCACACGATGGACTTATCATGACTTCCTCAAACCATACTGGTGGTACTTGGACTCCAGGGCATGAAGGTAAAGAGGGTCTAACCTCAAAATTTTGAACAATGGGCCTGTTGCACCAATTTTTTTTTATTGCTTTAATCAAAAGAACTAAGGCTCCTGATGTCACAGGAATTTTCCCGGCGTTTTTTGATCACCGGAAATCCCCATGAAATCAACTTAAAAACGCCTCAGAATTTGGATTTTCAAAACGGTTGTTTCGGGTCCGCCATACTTGTAACGTGAAATGGTTCGACAGACCTGGTTTCTTCATCACTTACAATGTATTTTCCCGTAAGGAAATGGCAGCCGCTTTTTTAATGAAAATATTGAGTCAATCCATAATTTTTTGATCTAAATGGAAATCAGAAATGGATTCCTCGTACGTTTAAATGGTTAAAACCTTCATTAGATAAATAAGAACCGACAGGATAAACCCTATTTTTAAGGAAGACTGTAGTCGATTGTTTACATCTGCTTAGTGATAACAGACATGGACATTAGCTTTAATATTTAGCCATTTTCATGAGTTTTTACTTTTCTGCCACTATTTGAAGGTAAGTTTATTTTGTAAACCTATTCAGGATAGTCATGGATAAAACGGGATGTTCCTACATTAGGAAACCGGGATAATAGCATGGATATCGATCTTTGAATATTGATCTTCGATGTATCGTTTGATTGAAAGTAGTATTGACTGGGATAAAACAGGATTTCTTCATAGTGACCGGGATAAAAGGGAAGAATTTTACCTATACAGGATAGTCATGGATAAAACGGGATGTACCTATATAAAGAAACTGGGATAACAGGAAGGATATCGATCTTTGATTTATCGTTTGATTGAAAGCAGCATTGACTGGGATAAAACGGGATTTCTTTATAGTGACCGGGATAAAAGAGAGGAATTTTACCTATTCAGGATAGTCATGGATGAAAAGGGATGTACCTATATTAAAAAACCGGGTAACAGGGAAGATATCGATCCTTGTGTATCAATCTTCGATATATCGTTTGATTGAAAGCAGTATTGACTGGGATAGAACGGGATTTGTTCATAGTTACCGGGATAAAAGAGAGGAATTTTACCTATCATCATCATCATCAGCTCATTAATATAAACTTCGAAGGATTCAAACTTTCAGCGATTCTACCTTTTTCTATTTCACTCGAGAGGTTGCCAGATTGTGCGATAAATGTGAATATTTTACATGGATTTGAATTGGGAAAAGTGTTAATAAAAAACAACTTATCTGGCAACAGTAGAGTCTGGAAGGGACGAGAGGCTGCCTTCCTGGGAAAACCCATGATTTACCCGGAAAGGTCATTAAAACAATTGATTCTGTTTGAAGCATCATTGTATATTGGGGGAAAGCTTTTTTAAAATAATAATTGTAAATGGACACAGATGCTACAGAGAGGGAAAAAGTGAAGGGAAAGGAAATGAAATGAGGATATGATTACTAATATGCAATCAGAGAGAATAAAACAAAAACATCAGAGAAATGTATATGCGCTGAAAGTATAAGAAAAAAACACGAGTGGGCTTATTGCGATTCGGAACTCGAACTATACTATCGTTGAGTAGTTTTTAGACCCCTACGCCACCGATAATCTTCTTAAGAGGTAAAGATGAATTTTTGCTTCTTCAGCAAGTCAAATCGCGGAAGGAGATCCATGGATTGTCTTTTTCCGCTACCCGATGGGATGACGTTCCAGTCAAATGCGCTTTTGAAGAAATGATCGATCCCCATCATCGCTTCATCTCCACACATCTATTCATGTGCAAATGATGGCACGCTCCAGCAACAAGGTTCTGTGACGAAATCATTTTTGCCTCCTGAGTCTCCAAAATGTATACATGTTAGTGATCACATGTCCAATCACTGAGAAAAATGGCTCGTGGAGCGAGCAGAATGTCATTCGCGTAGCGAGTGGTCGGGGGTCCAGGGGGCGCAGCCCCTTGGCAGGTCGCTCTGGGCGCGCAAAGCGCGTCCAAAGCGGCTAGTTCAGGATAGTCATGGATAAAATGGGATGTAACTATATTTAGAAACCGGGGTAACGGGAAGGATATCGATCTTTGTGTATCGATCTTCGATACATCGTTTGTTCTAATGCAGTATTGACTAGGATTAAACGGGATCTCTTCATAGTAACCGGGATAATATGGAGTAATTACGGGGTTTTTTCATAGTGACCGGGATAAAAGAGAGGAATTTTACGTGGACAGGATAGTCATGGATAAAACGGGATGTAACTATATTAAGAAACTGGGATAACAAGAAAGATATCGATATTTGTGTATCGATCTTTGATATATCGTTTTATAGAAAGCAGTATTGACTGGGATAAAACGGGATTTCTTCATAGTAACAGGAATAAAAGGGAGGAGTTTTACCTATACAGGATAGTCATGGATAAAACGGGATGTACCTATATTAGGAAACCGGGATAACAGGAAGAATATAGATCTTTGATATATCCTTTTATAGAAAGCAGTATTGACTGGGATAAATAGGGATTTCTTCATAATAACCGGGATCAAAGGGAGGAATTTCACCCATACAGGATAGTCATGGATAAAACGGGATGTATCTATATTAGGAAACCGGGATAACAGGAAGGATATCGATCTTTGAATATCGATCTTCGATATATCGTTCGATACTAAGCAGGATTGGCAGGTATTACTTAAACGGGATTTATCAAAATGAACCGGTATAAAAGAGAGTAATTTTACCTATACAGGATAGTCATGGATAAAACGGGATGTACCTATATTAGGAAACGGGGATAAGTAGCAGGAAAAATATCGATCTTTGAATATCGATCTTCGATATATCGTTGTATTGAAAGCAGTATTGACTGGGACAAAACAGGATTTCTTCATAGTGACCGGGATAAAAGAGAGGAATTTTACCCATACAGGGTAGTCATGGATAAAACGGGATGTAACTTTATTAAGAAACCGGGATAACAGGAGGGGAAAAGTATCGTTTGAATGAAAGCAGTATTGACTGGGATAAATCGGGATTTCTTCGTAGTGACCGGGATAAAAGAGAGAAATTTTACCTAAACAGGATAGTCATGGATGAAAAGGGGTGTACCTTTATTCTTTAACCGGGATAAACTGAAAAATATTGCTTTTTGTATATCGATCTTCAAAATATCGTTCGATTTAAAGCAGGATTGATAGGGATAAACCGGGATTGATTGATATGAACCGGGATAAAAGGGAGGAATTTCACCTATAAAGGATAGTCATGGATAAAACGGGATGTAACCGGCATAATAGCTCTTTGCATCTCGACCTTCGATGTATCGTTTGATTCAAAAAAGGATTGACAGGGATATAACGGGATATATTGTAATGAACCGAGATAAAAAAAAGGAACTTTATCTGAACAGGATTGACAGGGATAATACGGGATGTATCTCCATTCATTAACCGGGATAAAAGGATCAATATCGCTCTTTGTTTTTATCGATCTTCGATATATCGTTTGATTTAAAGCAGTATGGACTTGGATAAACGGGATTTCCTCATAGTAACCGGCATAAAAGGGAGGAGTTTTACCTACCCAGGATAGTCATGCATGAAACGGGATGTACCTATTTTAGGAAACCGGGATTACAGGAAGGATATCGATCTTTGAGTATCGATCCTCGATATATCGTTCGATTCTAAGCAGGATTGGCAGGCACAAAACGGGATTAATCAATATGAACTGGGATAAAAGGGAGAATATTTACCTAAGCAGCTGGTCTGGTATGGACATGTGTGAAGGATGGCAGACGATCGGTTGCCCAAGCAGGTTTTCGATTGGGTTCCTCCCGGCGAAGGCGACGGCGTGGACGTAGGGGTGTTCAAACGAATTCTTGCAGGAACACTATCGATATCGTCTCTTACCGAAATTGGCGGCAGTACCGACAGTGGCGATGATATCGTGAGCAGCCGACCTT